GGAGCCGGCTGCAGGAAACGGGTAATGGGCTGAAGGAAAGAGATCCTTCATGCACCCCCCCCCCCGAAAAAAAAAAAGGGGGTGAAGAAGCCTCTGTAGGAGCCAGGGGGGGAGCTTGGAGGTGGTGGGGGGTCTCCTGTGATGGGTTTGGACCCATCTGGTCCACCCTGTGGTGTCACCAGTCTTTGGGGGGTGTTTTTGTTGCTCTTGGTGGAGGATGAGTGAGAGGGAAGAGGCGGGGGAGGGCCAAAATTAGGTCCTGGTGCTGGGAAAACTCTTGAGGTATTGAGAAAGAAGAAAGACGTTGACCCCCAAGAAGGATCCAGGTGGAGACTCCTGCAGTGGTGCCACCACATGTGATCTTGAGCCCCACCGGGGTCTCCTTGGGGTTGGAAAGCCAAATTGAAGTGAGGAGAAGAGCTAGGAGACGTCTCTGAGATGTCCATGCCAGTGTGAGAAGCTGGAAACTGGACATCTCCAGCGTTGCAGAGAAGTCGGAGAAGGATGGAGATCTTGGAGTGATGATCATTAGCGTCCATAGAAAGCTTTTGTTCTCCCCGTTGGTCCTCTGGCAACCATGAGCCCCAAAATCTTGTTCCCTTCCTCCAGCATCGGCTTCTTCATGGCAATGCTGGAAACGCTGCTTTAAGGGGTTGTGGTGGTTCAGGGTTGATGGTTGGAGCATGGTGGGCTGCTCTCCCAAGTCCTGTCGGGCCGGCTGGGCTCCTCTGCTGAGGTGGCCTCATCTTCATCCCCATCCCAGCACAGCCTGGTGGCCACCCATGGATGGGTTTGGCTTTTCAGTCAATGGTGGGAGCTGGACCATCTCCACCATTGCTGGAGGAGATGGAGGGCAGTGGGGTTGGAGGAGAAAGGTGGTGTCCTCTGCTGAGAACGAACTCATGAAGCATCTTCTCCCCCCCTTCCCCAGCAGGTCCCACCATGGCGAGCAGAGACCTGGAAGCATCCATTTTGCAATGCCAAGACCCCCCGCACCCACCCAGCACCCTCCAGGGCATCCCGGCGGTTGGGACACCCACCCGGAGAGGGACTCACCGGCGACAGATCCCACAGGATCCCACCACCTTCCCACAGCCCCTCACCCAAGGTCCGCTTGGCTCAGCGGAGGCCACCAGGAACCCAGAGAAGCCCTGGGTGAAGCGGGAGCCGCCAGCGCAGGGGAAGGACCGTCCCTACCCCTGCAGCGAGTGCGGCAAGAGCTTCGGCCGGTTGACCCACCTGAAGACCCACCAGCGGACCCACACCGGGGTGAAGCCTTACGCCTGCGGGGCTTGTGGCAAGAGCTTCGGCCACCTCTCCACCCTCACCACCCACCAACGCCCGCCC